AGGAGTTTTGCTGTTGTTGCCCAGGCTGGAGTGCAATGGAGCAATCTTGGCTCACTGCCACCTCCACCTCCCAGGTTCGAGTGATTCTTCTGCCTCAGCCTCCTGAGTAGCTGGAATTACAGGTGCCCACCACCACACACGGCTAATTTTTGTATTTTTAGTAGAGATGGGGTTTTACCATGTTGGCCAGGCTGGCCTTGAACTCCTGACGCCAAGTGATCCGCCTACCTTAGCCTCCCAGTGTGAGCCACCGTGCCTGGCCTATGTTGCTTAATAATGATCTCATGTATCATTTAGTTACAAAATCTCAGTATTTTCTTCCTTTTTCCTGTCTCCCTTAATTCCTGGATCCAGGCCGTGATGATTTGTCCTTAGTGGCTTATTCTGCAATCATATTTCAAATATCTATTCCTCTGTTCCATTCTATTTGCTGTCACAGTAGTTAAACACTCCACTCTGAATCAGTTGCAAAAAACTCCTGATAGTATCTTAAGGAGTCCCCAGCCTACCTTTATAACCACCTCTACCTCTCTGCCTCTGTGAATTGTTCAACCAAAATTGAGGGGGATCATATTCCATATAGAGAGAGTTTATGTTGAACCTTGGTTTACGCATTCCTGTTTGTTTGTGCGCATCCATTTATGTAACTCCTTCAAGAGCTGTCCTCGTAAAGCCTCTGCTGCAAGCCCAGCATTCTTGATCTCCTCTGCGTATTGAACATATGTGATGATATTGGGGTCACCAGTTCTGTTGCTCATCTGTTCTGCCTTCCCATCTGAGCTTGAGGTTCTTGGGGATAATTATTTATATTACTCACAGCACTGATTTAATGCTGTATGCATAGTAAGCCCTTAGTGAATATTTCTTGATTGTTTTTAAAGAATCTGTTTGAACATCAATATCTAATACGCTGGATCAAGGCACAAGTGTAATTTTCTAATTACTTTCCATTCAGTCAATGAGTATTTATAGAATACTTTAGTTCTGCTAGGATTCACATTCTGTTACCCAGAATCTAGTGTCTTTATGAAGACTTTCTCCTTGAATGCATCCTCCTTTTCAAGTCATTTTTAGCTAAGAAAGCAGTAGAGAATTAGTTATCTTATTAAATCTTTAATTCATATGATAATTCTATCAATTCAGAGTAGTAGTCACTGAAAAGTTTCTGTTCATTATGCTCAAAGAACAGTTATTTTGTATTGCCATGCTTAAAATGTGTACTGTTACTTCTTAGAATATAAATGTGCATGTATTTATGTGTATGTAATTAAAACTCAGGTGTATGTGTCAACAGAAGTAAACCATCTAACCTCTTTCCTTCCTTAATGTTCTCTTCTTACAGCAAAGTTCCCTGATTACAAATCAACATGGTCCCCAGATCCCATAGGACACAATCCCACTCATCTCTCCAACAAGATGTGGAAAAACCATATTTCCTCCAGGAACACTACACCGCTGCCCCGCCCACCTCCTGGTCTGACCAACCCCAAACCATCATCTCCCTGGAGCAGCACAGCACCCCGATCAGTCAGGGGGTGGGGGACACAGGACTCGCGGCTCGCCTCGGGTGAGGAGGATCTGCCTAAAGGAGCACCATTGTCCATCCACAAGGGGCTTATGTTAACACAGATGGTGAAGACACCAAGAGGTCTTCCCAAGAGAGGAAGTCATGGTTGTCTGGTTTTTCTTCTGATAGAGGAGAAGCTACCTCTTGAGTGAAAGTCGTAGTCAGTATAAGGCAAAGGGACCCAACAACTCCCAAGGGACAGATGGAGTAAAATGAGTGAGTAAAAATGGCAGAGTGGGGCCGGGCGCGGTGGCTCAAGCCTGTAATCCCAGCACTTTGGGAGGCCGAGGCGGGTGGATCATGAGGTCAAGAGATTGAGACCATCCTGGTCAACATGGTGAAACCCCGT